TAATAATACTTACATAACTCGTAATACGGCATTTCAAACTTTATTTCAATTCGAACATTATGCAATTCAAAATTCATAAACAATAAAATTGTTAACTGCTATTGTAGAATTGAATTTGACCGAGTGTAATCAACTGACCAATTACATTGAGCAAACCTAAGTACATTTCTGCTGGTTTTAGAGTACTTCTGACATGACTACAGAAAAATATTTTTATTTTTTTTTATTTCATCGTTTCCGAAAATTTAATTGCCCACAGAAAATCGGTTGATTTCCCACCTACTGTAAAAAGAGAAAAAATAAAAATTTTAGAAAAAAAGATGTGGATTATACTAATGTATTTGCAGAAATAAATGTATGTATACTTACACTTTTAGGATAATAATATGAAATCAATACGATTGATTGCGATTTTTAAATGCAATTTTTTATACCTATTGTAAAAAGAATTGTATATATATATATGGACACATGGATAACCTTGTGTCGTCTATTTTTATTGCAACTAACTATTTCTATTTTCATTTCACTTCTCCAGTATTTGCTATGCTGCGTTTTTACATACATACGTATTTATTTGTAGACACTTTCATATTATTTTTATTTTACTTTTATTGAGTATCGAATGTTGCGATGTGGAAAATATTTATATGGACAATTTTTCTACGCCCAGTAAAAGTAACAAAGCAACAAAAAAAAACAGACATAGTATTAATTTTGAAAGTGATCAGAGTGTAGAGCAAATGTATGAACCCTGCAAAAAATTGTGAGATAAATTTCCAGAGAAAGTATTCCGGGGTTAGTCTCAATCGGGTACAATTGGGCATTAATCAGTCGCAACTACTCTCATACGGGTATTATTGGAGATCAATAAGTCTCGACTAATCTTTTTCGGGTTAGTCCGCGCTTCATCTCTAGCGCAAAAATTAACGAGCTGTTGTTCTCTTCATGGGGCATGCTCGAACCAAAGGCGACCAGTTAATTCCAAGTAAAGAGATCCAAAGTGGTATTGGTCGAATGATCCTATGCGAATGCTCGCGGAGTCATGCTGAGTTACCCGCAATTTCGCAGGGTATGTGTGTGCGTACATTTTTATTTTATTTTTTTCCCATACATCTATGCAGTTTTTCAAATGAACGCTGAGCGCGTGGAATATTTTAAAAGTGCAGGGACTGCAAATGTGATGATATGTATTGCACAAATGCGCACTCACGCATGCAATAACCAAACAATTGTTAATCCTTGCACACAACGATGCCTACCTACATATATGTATGTATATATACGCGTATGAATGTATATGCAATGCAAGTGCATACGTTGCCAACTTTTATGCATTATTGGCTACAAATATGCACAAAAACTTGTAAGCGATGCGTCAAATGGCATAATGCTATGGCAATAGCATACATACATGTGTGCATATGTATGCACATTAGGGTGGTCCAAAATGTGAGTGAAAAAATAAATACTGTCAGCCCCTGGGCTTGTTCTATATCGAAAAAATATACCCCTGTGTTTTAATTTCGCAATCATTGAATTTTTTTGGGTGTTAGGGAGGGACCTACATATATATAAAGTTAGTATCAAAAAACGGTTAAATAAATCTCTAGATATTATTACCGAAAGAGTTCTGCGGAGAAACAAAGTTTTTGGATTGAAAAATATTGTTTTTCTAGGATTCTATGCCACTTAAACCAACGATTTTTTCCCTCACATAAAATACATGGACAACTTTTTTGATTGCAAAAAGAAACAGGGGTATAATTTGTTTTGGTATAAAATAATCCTAGTGAGTGAGAGCATGAAAATTCCGACTTTACTTTTTTTTGGACCACCCTACTGTGTATTTTCGATAAGCACTTACTTGTACATACATACTTATGTATGTCCCTTTGTATTCTATCGCTCAGCCATGAGCACAATAAAATCAACGTTCAACGTTAGCTGATATTGAAAATAAAAAAATATATATGTATGAATGTACATACATACATATCTATCAGGTTTGTATGTATGTATGTAAGTGAAGACAAGTGTGTTTGCCTTATGGTTTGTGCGTACTACATGGCGTATACGCAATCAGGCTTCCGTCTGGTGGCACTGCAAATGGTTGATGGGAGAAATGGAAATAAATTCAATGGTCAATTTATTTGCAGTTTTGTTTTTCACATTGTCAAGTTGGCCTTGCGCAGCATGTCACTTACAAACCATTTATTTTGCTCTTCCTCCCTTGCTGCTCCCCTTTGTTTCGCTCGTTTTTTTGTGTTCATTTGTCTTGTTTTGTTGCGGTAAATGTCGTTATTCATGTTTTGTTTGCTTGCTTTTCGGTTTTTTTTTGTGTTGCATCTCTACGCTGTTAATATTATATTGTGCATTTATTTGGTTTCGTATTTTTTGTTAATTTTTTTTTTGCTGGTGTTTGAGGCAAAGTATTGTCTTCCGTTGAGTGCATGATTTGCAAAGCAAATTGTTCGTCCTCTTGTAAGGTAAGTATTTGTATTTGTATTACATATTTTTGCTTGATTGCTTTGGTCCCTATCATATTTCAATTTGTTGCTGTATTGAATGTTATGAATAATTTTATTGATACCCTTGTAAAAACAAATTATGCTGGGTGTAGTGTAGCGGGAATTGAATTTTGAATAAAGTTCGCAATGATTCCCTCAATTATTGCATTTTGTTTTCACAATTTGTCTGACTTTTTCTAAGTGAATTAACCACAATATGTCCATTGAAATTGTGAACAAGTTCAAGTGGTATGCTTAGATTTAATTGGAATTAATTTATTTGCTAAAGCTGGAATAGCAACCACATAGTTATGTACATGGGATAATAAGCGTAGCAATTTAATTTAGTATTACTTTGCTGGTTTCGGGCTCGCGAATGCCTCGAATGATTCCACTTTTAAACACGACGACCTTCGGCTAGGCGGTTATTGCTTATGACCACAGACATATCGTCAATAGACACGAACAAAGGCGCGAGCTCAAAAGTTTACCGCGAAAAAGGACACAGAAAAACAAGTAAGAGCAGCGCTGTCTTCGGCCATGCCGAAGGCTTCATATCTTTCATGAACATCTGAAAATTTTCCTTTAACAGGTTACTGCATTTGAAAAAATCTATATATTCACAGCATACATATATATAATATCATATCTAAACAATCAGAGGTATGGAAGGTATACCTTATATAGCACCAATCCAAATAATTTTGACAGCTGTGTGATCAGTATGTAAACCAGTAACACAATTTAATGGGTTTCGTTTCCTACATAAAGGAGACATATCGCAAAAACTGGTATTTGAACAATCAGTGGTATAAGAAATAAAACTTATACGGCATAGATTTTGATGATTTTCTCATTAGACTGATACAAAATCCCACGCCTATGGAATGTGCCATGCCCCCTTTTATAAACTCAGTCATATATACCTTACTATAAGAACCTACCGTATCTGTGCCTGCATACCAATTTTCAATCTCGTTGAACTTATGGCTCGGACGTTATAGCTGATAAAAGCATCCATGCCCATGGGATGTGCAACGCCTTCTTTACAAACTCATTTACATACTTATGCCTTATTATAAGCACCTACCATAGCTATGCCTGTATACTACCGAATTTCAAGTTCGTGGGGTTTATGGTTCCGAAGTTATTGCTGATAAAAATTTCACGCCTGTGGGAGGTGACACGCCCCCTTATCGAATCCCAATTTTTGTCTCCTTATTATAGGCACGGGTGTCATGGTAACACTCTGTCAGAATTTCGTTCGATTCTATCCCTGGGTTTAGGCTTCAACCTGGCACATACATACATACATACATACATACTTAGACAAATATATATTAGATATCTATCCTTCTCCTAGCGTAAAATAATTTTTGGGAATATCCCGGCACCATCGCCTCCTATCGTGTAATTTTTTTGTTCAAATATTACTTTCCAATTGGCTCAAAATATGAGCCAAATCGGCAAGTTAATGCAATGCCACCTAGCTAGCAAATTTTTGGTAGAAATATTTCCTCTCAAGGAACTGATATATGTTCCAAATATGAACGAAAACGGTCCAGCCGTTTAGCAGTTTAGTGACATTCAATATACGGAAAACTCTATGAAATTGTGAAATCGTAACATCTCAGCATTCTTAATTTTTCGGCAACAACAACAAAAAATTTAAAATTTTCTTAAATCGAAAAACCTTCCACACAGAAGGTCCATAAATGTATATTTTACGGAATAGAAAACCGTTGAGCCATTTGGCCAGGCTCCGCCGTCATATGAAGGACATTTCGTTTTTATATATATAGATAGATGGTAGATGTCGGCTCTCCCTTATAAAATAAAAATCCATAACAGATGTAACATACTTCCAATAACTCATTTTTCTCCATGTGTAAGGGATTGATTTCACATAAATACATATCTCAATACCAGTCTTGAGTACTCTACCCCAAATATTCGAAGAGATATGCAATATGAAAGTTTTAGTTAGTTTGGGTCGTGACACGCCCCTTTTCCTAAAACGCTCAGTGTTCTCCGCGATTCTGAATTTGATTTCACATATGTACATACATATCTCTATAACAAGCTCCAGCACTCTCCCACAAATACTTCCAGTGCATTATGAACAGTAGTAGAAGGAAGAGACTGTTGCTTTGTATTTTGACGGTTTGGAATGCACCCATATTTTTTTTTGTTCTATTACTTTTTTTGTAGCAAAGCAAAGTACAAATAATACCATTTTAACCTCTTTACATGAAATGAACTGTTCCCTTTTGCTCGAGTATGTCCTATAGACATATTTGCTATAATTTGCCTATTAGGATTACCGATATTCTGACAGATTAAAATGGAATAATAAGCGTCACCTACTATCCCCTAAATTGAAACTTAGCTATTTAATGTTTAATGAATAGAATTTGTAAAACAAATTAAAAATACATTTTCAAATGAGGCATTTCATTTACAAGTAAATTACACAATTTGTAAACTTACCCATCTGCGCCGAAAGCCTTCAGCTCACGACTCAATGTCTCATTGACATTTTGCTGCGAATATAATCCGATTGGGGAATTGAATTGCTTGTGAACCAATTTACGTTGAACGGCGGCCATTATGTTTGTTAAAAGTTTTTTTGTTTTTGTTTCTTTGCTTTTATTATAATTTATGACAATTTGTTACTTTAAAAGTAGCAAGTGGATTTGGATATGTATGACACACAACAAAAATCTAACGAAAGTTTGTAGAAGGAGTGGTAAATTTAAGAATTTGCAAACTTTTTTAATATGCAAATAAATTAGTTTATTTAAGTACATAAATAAATAACTGTAATTTTTTTTAAAGAAAGTAAATTAAGTAAGCAAAATAAAAAAGAAAGGAAAAGTAGATAACTAAAAAATAAAACAATTAAATTGTCTAATTTATTTTTATAAAAATTGGTTTAAAAATATCGGAAAAAAATATTGAATACGGATACCCTCGCTGTCGATTTAAAAGCTTAAGTATCAACAATTGAGTCTGGATCGACAAAAGACTTTTCGGTTCGTGTGACAACAACGTACATAAATTGGGATCAAACCAAACTTAATACTAATAAGTTTGGTAATTGCTGAACAGTGTTTCGGATCGCACGCAATTTCTGTCAGACTATTGGTGAGGAGTTCCAAGAAAAAATGGGATCTTAAAAAGAATAAATATTTTTAGTAACATAAAAAATGCTATGTCACAAGTGAACAGCGGAGTAATTGGCAATGAAGTGAAGGAAAAGCGGCTGCATAGGGATCCCAGAACCCTTCATCGAAATCACCATATATGTATGTACGAAGAAGAATGTGCAGCTTTACTGGAAAGGCATGAATTAGAAAAGTTTTAAGGTCGTAAGTTTTTTTTTATAAAATAACGGTTTATATGTTTTTTTTGGGATTTGTAACTACCCCAAGGTGTTTTTAAATTTAGTTTTTTAAATTTTTAGATTCTCTAGGAATATCTCTGCATAAAAAAGAAAATTTTGAAAGAAATGTCGCTTACGTATTATGGCCCGATATTATTAGCTTATATTATACTCTGTGGAACCCTTAAAACCATTTTAACCGTTGTTTTAAATTGAAAAAGTTTACAAATTCATGACATTACGACGATTATTCTGTCTTGTGAATATACATGCAGTGACTCAAGAAAGTGTTCAAGTCTTGATTTGTTTTTAATATTCGCAACGTTTTTCAGGTCATTTTTACATTAACATTAACATTGACAAATATATATTTTTTTTGTTATTTTTCGGTAAAAACATTGTCCAAGCTTTAGCCAAAACCATACAAATCCAAGTTTCAAACTTTACACAAAATTTAGCAAAAATTAAAAAGTTTCCATCAAAATTTCAAACAATAAATTCTTTATTTTTAGAACATTTCTAAAGCTAGTTTTATGAATGCAATTTAAGTGGAAATAGAAGTGAATGTAGAAACTTATGGAGAAAACCATTTTTTAAAAGGTTAAGAAATTCCGTTGATTTTGAAAAACTTGTTTTTTGGTTACTGCTTTGCGGTTTGTTTAAATAAAAATTTGTTGAATTAGTATAAAGTTGGAAACTTTTAGTCATAGGGTTTTGGTTAAAGCGTGGACGATGTTTTTATAGAAAACCAACAAAAGTATTTTACTTGAAAAACGTTGTGAATATTAAAAGAAATCAACACTTGAACACTTGTTTAAAGCACTGTATATGTAAATGTTTTACCGTTGTGTAGAAAGCTTGACACGCGCGCCTATAAAGTGACAAATTCCAACACAAATCTATAGCGGTATTCTCTAAATCTTGCAAAGCCATGGCAAGTAGCACGGATTGCATAACTTGCAAACACACAACAACAAAATATATGGAAAACACCATTTCCTATCGCTGCAAAATATGCAACGTCGGAAACCATGTATACGTTTTGCAAAAAAGCATAGCAAAATAAATGCGACCCTGTGCTAGTTGTTTTGTTGCTGGAATTGCTACATATTTCTCTCATTGCTCTCATATCTTGTTATTGTATTTAATACAGAATATCGTTTCTTGCTACCTATGCATGCTACCACTTTGCAATTGTTTGCTCTCGTTGTTGCTACTCTTCCAAATTTGGAATAGTATTCGAGAATACCGCTGATGTTTTAAGGCTAGAAAAATTGATAATTTAACAAACCAGTTAAAGGAACAATTAATTTAAAATAAAATGTAAAGCAAAGAATAAAGATATTTAAACAAAAGGTAAAATCCTGAAATCGTTAAAATTGTGAATTGTAATTGGTTAATTAGTCGAATATTTTATTAATTAAATAGTATGCAAGTTATTGTGTTGTTGTGAAAAGTGTTTGTGTAATTTAAATTTTGTTTAATCGCGTGAGTGAATGAGTGTTTGTTTTTCTTTGTAAATATTTTGCTTTTTTTATTATGTGCTCATTGTATGCATAACATATTTTATGCGAGTGTATGTGTGTGTGTGCGTTGTGTTTTGTATTAAATACAGTCTCACTCTTTGTCTTGTTCAGTAATTACACGTTTTTCTTCGGCTCAATAAAAAGTCGCTTCGATTATGTTATTGTTATTAATATTTTCACTCGATTTAATTAATTAAACAAAAATACTTCTGTACTGGCTACGCTTTAGAATTTCGTTGTTTTTCGTAGATCGTTGGGTGATTCGCTCTGCAAAGAAAAAATAATATTGTTATTAAAATACGTATGTATTTGAAATTTGCATATGTACATATGTATGTATGCTTCTAGCACCAGAAGTCATAATACATAGTAAAAAAAAAAATCGAAATATTTTTGAAATGAACAGTTGTTTGAAAACGTCTCACGCTTACTAATATTATAAATCTGAAAGTGAGTTTGTTTATTTGTGACGCTTACACGCTTTAACTACTCAACTTATTTATTATCATGAAATTTTGTATACTGGTGTAATTTAGTCCAACTTAAAATCCAGGACAGACTTAATCTGGATTATATAAGCTGGTACCTCCCATACAAACGTAATTTTTATACAATATATCGCAAAAAATATATGCGATAGAGTACTGGAACTTGGCACGTAGATATATAAAATCAATTCCAGAATCATGGAGGAGGGCTGCCACCTGTTTAAAAAATCAAATTCAACTTGAATTAAGGGAATTATTTTTTTGAAAATTATATTAAAAAATGAATGTCAAGATGCTAAAAATGTTGTAGTTCGAAAATATTTTGAAAAGGGTTACCAGCTGTTTGAAAAGTCAAATTTAAATTATTAATATGGGTGTCTATCAAAATGTTTTTGAAAACGGTTTTAGTTCTAAACTACATGAAATACAGTTGCCACCTGTTTGAAAAATCGAATTCTAGATGAATTAAGAGAACCAGATAATTCGAATATGTATCACAATATGGGTGTCAGAGCAAAGGGGTTTAATAAGGGTTTAGTAGGAAAATATTTTGGGGAGGGTTGCCATCTCTTTTTTTTAAAAGTCGAATATAAACTAATTGTATTCAAGTTAAAGTGTCAAACGTAAGAGTGTTAGGAAATGTTCAGATTGAGCTTGTAGAGCCCTCTGATTTATTTGAACGGGGTTACCAATTGTTTAAAAACTAAATTCAAATACAATTATATTGTAAGTTAAATGAGTTATTACAATATAGGTATTAATCGAAAGTCTGCCAAAGTAAACGTAGTTGGAAATTCAAATTAAATTTCAATTATAGGAATTAGGTAATTTTAATGCTTATGTATGTATCACAATATGAGGGTGAGACAAAAGAGGTCTAAAAAGGTTGCCAATTGTTCAGAAAGTTAAATTCAAACTATTCAATAATTTCAATGCAGTACTTATTATAATAGGGGTTCAATCGAAATAGTTTTGAAAGGGCTTCATTTCTAAACTACATGTAAGGGGATTGTCGCTTATATAATTTATATGCATATATGTATTAGAATTCAGGGTAATAGAAAAAGTATCGCAATAGAGAGGTTTAAGAAAGTTTTAATTTGAAAGTATCCTGAAGATATTTAAAAAAAAAAATTTAATCTGCTGTTTATGGCATAGCTGAAGCATGTTGAGATTTACTGAAGTAATAGCACGCAGAAATTTCATACGCTCAGCGAAGCGGATGATAGCAATCTACTTATACATAAACCCGACTGGAAGTTATTTCGTAATTTATAAAAAATTCAAAATTCACTTTTTGATGGATTTCATTAAATTACAACTCCCCACATCGTTTTATGAAAAAAGGAATTAGTCACGACTTTTTCCATTTCAATGGCGATGATGTTACGTTATTTTGCACTTCAGGTTACAATATGTACGTTTGTAGGCAACTGTGAACATTTTTGGAAAACGACAGTGATAATATGGAATATTGTCGACAATTGTGCTGACAATTGTCACTCTGACAAAATTGTTGCGACGAAGGCGACAAAACCAAATAGCACCGTCGGAAAGCTTTCACAGGAGAGGTTTGTAAATTTATTTATATGGTAATTGCGCGCATTTCATTACTTTTAAATAATTTGAATATTTCTTAAAACTAAAATAATGCAAATGCAACTGTTACATATGATTTATATATAAATTTCATTGACTGGCGACAATTTTGTCAACGACATTTTTAAACCCCGAAAATGACAATTTGTCACTTTTTCAATGAAATTTCTCATGGAATTTAAGAGGTGGTGACAATTGTTTTTATGAAACAAAACATCCACCAAACTGTCGAATTGTCACTGACAACATGGAAAATGCCTATCGATAGGCCCCATATCTATTTTGTTGGTTCGATTTTTAAAAATTAGTTGTCAAATTATCCTGAAGATGTGCAATATGGATTTAGTTTGATGAAAAGTCGAATTTATTTAGGTTTTACAAAAGCTATGTATGTATGAAATGTTAAAATATGAGTGGCAGATTAAAGAGTTTTAAGAAATCTTTAACTGGAACAATTAAAATATTTTTGAGGTGTTCGAAGAGGGTGACCACCTGTTTGAAAAGCTAAATTCAAATTATTTAATAATTCATATAAATAAATCGGATTCGGAGATGTTTGCGTTAAATATTTAATGTCACCGTGAAGGTAGTATGGATATATGTATAGCGAATGCGTGGCCAGGAAACGAACAGCTGCGTTGAACGCCACTGGGAGTGGGGAGAGACAAAGCCGAAGACTATTAAATAGACAAAGATAAGGGTAGTGATAAGT